AAGCAAGATCTAGACCAGCCTAGCCAATTTACAGCCTGGACCGCGCAGTCAGATCATGCGATGCTCAGCCTGTTCCAGCCGTTACCCACATTACTTACAAGTAGGACTGATAGCAAACAGCATGGATCCTGATCAGACTGCGCAGATGTGCTGGCTGGTCTGGATCCATGCTGGTCGCAAACGCACTATCGGGTATGTTGGTTTTGTAGTGACGCGGCTCAAATTTATTTTAGTGTCAAGTGGTACCATGAGGTTGAGATGTTATCTTTTGAGATGTCTTAATTACTATTTTACAGTATATATATTTGTAACTTGACGCAAAACTTTTGCCATTCTGCCTCCTTTGCATTTTATACTGATAGTAAACTGGATAAGTTGGCCGTCTAGTAAAAACCTGGGCATAGTCTTTTTATGCCCCCGCCATGTAATGGCCGGGGCATATAGTGTTACCCTGTTCCGTCATTCCGTCCTTCCGTCATTCTGTCATGCCGTCATCATCAGTTTACGTTCATTATCTTAAGAACGGTTGCACACATTCAACTCAAATTTGACATATGGAATATGTCATGAGAAAATACAGGTCAAGTTCGAATTTTGGTCAGGGTTCGATGATTTTTGGCAGAGTTATGCCCCTTTTACTTTGAAAAATAATATGAAAATTTCAGTTTCCTTTCATTATCTCCCCAACGGTACAACACATTCAACTCAAACTTGACATATGGATATGTCATGTAAAATACAGGTCAAGTTCGAATTTAGTCACGGTTTGATGATTTTTGGCAGAGTATTATGCCCCTTTTAGCTTTGAAAATAATATGAAATTTTCAGTTTCCGTTCATTATCTCCCCAACGGCTACAACATATTCAACTCAAACTTGACATATGGATATGTCATGAGAAAATACAGGTCAAGTTCGAATTTGGTCATGGTTCGATGATTTTTGGCAGAGTTATGCCCCTTTTACTTTGAAAATAATATGAAATTTTCAGTTTCCGTTCTCATTATCTCTCCCAAAAGGTACAACACATTCAACTCAAACTTCACATATGGATATGTCATGAAAAAAATACAGGTCAAGTTTGAATTTGGTCACGGTTCGATGATTTTTGGCAGAGTTATGCCCCTTTTACTTTGAAGACAATATGAAATTTACAGTTTCCGTTCATTATCTCCCCAAAGGTACAACACATTCAACTCAAACTTGACATATGGAATGCGTCAAAGGAATGCGCAGGTCAAGTTCAAATTTGGTCATGGTTCAATGATTTTTTGGCAGAGAGATTATTCCCCTTTCACTTTGAAAGTAACATTAAATTTTCAGCTTTCCGTTATTATCTCCCAATGGTACAACACATTCAACTCAAATTTGACAGATGGATATGTTTTTGGAATGACCAGGCCAAGTTGGAATTTGTTTCATGGTTCAATGATTTTTGTGCAGAGTATTAGCCCCTTTCACTTTGAAAAATAATATGAAATTTACACGTTTCTGTTCATCTATCTACCCAACAGTGTTACAGATTCAACTTAAATTTGACATATGGATATGTCAAACAAGTTGGAATTTGTCATGGTTTGATCGATTTTTTGTGCAGAGTTATGTCCCTATTCACACTTTGAAGATAATATAGATACATCTTAGGAATAAGCAGTTTAAGTTTAATAATTTTGGTCGTGGTTCATTGATTTTAGACAAACGTATCTTTACCTGAATGTTGGAAAAGTTTTGAAACTATAGTCAGTTGCAAAGCACTCATACTTTTAAGCCATTATTTTGGGCTACAAATATGCAATATGCTATTTTTAAAAGGTTAAGACTGAATAATTTCAGTGCCTTGAACATTGTATGAAAATGGTTTGTGTTAACATTGAAAAGTTTTAAGGGCTTTGAACTTAAAATGAAAAAAAAAAATGAATGCACCATCTGAAATTTTGGCTGCATGCGGGGGCATCCGTGGCATGATGACACATTTCTAGTTTATTTCATTTTTTTGGTTTGTTTTTCTTTTATACAGATTTTACAACACTTTTGCTCATATCTGGACGATCAATCCACCTAACTGGTTATACTGTATAATTGAAAGTTTACAGTAAATTAATGTTTATTACTTTGCTTTTGTCAGGTTTATAGTAGAAATAGTGTTGATGAACCAAAACAAGACATGTGGCTTCCATGACTTAGTGGTTATGGTCAGTTGCCCCTGACGATTTTTGGTTTGAATCCCTTCAGGGACTGTGCACTTTTTCATATGAAGAAGCTTTCTAACTAGCATATAAAGTCTGTGGTTCTACTTGCATGCCTGCTTCTACCTGAAATATTATATGAATGTAAACCTGAGGGCTTTCACCAGTATAGCTTAAATGTTACCATATGGCATTCACCGTCGTTTGATTGTTAAACCAGACAAGACAGATAAAAAGGTCAACATTTACAGGTATCTCTTATAATAGATTTGAGCCGTATCATGACAAAACCAACATAGTGGATTTGCGACCAGCATGGATCCAGACCAGCCTGCGCCTCCGCACAGTCTGATCAGGATCCATGCTGTTCGCTATCAGTTTCTCTACTTGTATTAGGGCTTGTAAGTGAACAGCATGGATCCTAAACAGACTGCATGGATGCGCAGGCTGGTCTGGATCCATGCTGGTCGCAAACGCATTACGTTGGTTTTGTCATGATGCGGCTATTTTATTTTTGCAGATGAAGCTGATGGTGTAGAGGTAGATAATGCAAATATTGAAGTAGGGTTGGATGACAATGGTGGTAACATGTCAGTGGAGGATGGTAATAATACTGCTGAAGATAAGACCAGGAAACAAAGTGCTGACAGTTGCTCGATTAAAGTAATGTCAAAACAATCAAATTACTTAGCACGCAGACTGCACAACACAAGCTCGGCAATGTTTATTTGTTATTGGACCTAATCTGGTAGCGAAAATTGCCATAGCACTTCTTATGAAACCCTATTTCTTTTTAATTTTTTATTTTATTTCTTCTTAACTGTAATGTTGGTTGAGGTTCACAATTGTATTTGTCTATTGACTAATATGCTCTAAATATTTAGATGTTATCTTCCATATTAAAATTAATGTCACATGAAATTATATAATTATTTCCGAGGGTTGTTTCGGTGAAAGTTTTTTGAAGACACAACATATGATTATTTCTCTGTGGTCTAACTACAGCTGCGAATATTAATTTAATGAGATCAAATTATTATCAGCTTATATAATGTTATTCTGAGAGGAGAGTTTATTGTCCTTTAAATACAACTGTAAAGGTATTTTTCGTTATTTACTAATACGGCATATAATCGTTTCCATAGCAACACCTGTCTACGCATCCTGGCGCACGGACTATTTTCTTGTTATAAGTTTCTTACTGAATAAAAAGAGCCCCTAAAATTGCGCCAAAACGTCACGAAAATTTTATGACGTCACTTCCAACTTAAGGACGTCATTCCGCTAGTTGTTTAAGCCGTACATTCACCGCAGATCATTATAGCAAATACGTGCGCGACAAGACCAACGACTATGGAAACACCGTCAAAAGAGGAACAGCGTGTTTTTATTAAGTTTTGCCCGTTAATCTTGGGAAAATGCCAAACAGAAAAACTAAGCAACTTCGTCTAGAACTAAGGCAAACAACGGACGTACTGTTAGTCGACCATTGGTATTTAGATGGAATAAAGAGTTTCGGGATGGCAGAAAGTTAACAAAAGACAAGGAAAGGAGCGGTCGCCCATCCGTCATCGACGATAAACTGACACTTGCAAGAAGAAACGCGCTTCAGTGCGACCGTCGCATAACAGTAAGAGAAGTTGCGCTCTAGAGTTATGAGCATTATTGCAAAACATTTAAATCTGACTGGTATAGAAATGTATTCGCCAAGTGGGTTACGAGGCATGAAAATGTGTACGTTGTGAAGGAAGATACTTTGAAAAGGAGTAGCAGTTGACTTTTCTACGGTGACGTTAAACTCTGGAAAATAACGGCAACGTCGGATAACGTCGTTGCGTGCGCCGGGTCACCGGTAGTGTCTGTGTCTAACGCTTTGTAGCTTTTGTATACATGAAGCTGTTGTTATGAAATTTTACACTATAATAGATGAGGTATTAAAGTAATACATAGTAAACTCTTGTTTGATTTTATCTTTTCCAACGCTAAATATTGACCCAGTCTCAAAACTTTCCGAACAACCCTCGTATGAGCCGCATCACGACAAAACCAACATAGAGGGTTTGCGACCAGCATGGATCCAGACCAGCCTGCACCTCCGCGCAGTCTGATCAGGATCCATGCTGTTCGCTATAATATTCTCTACTTGTAATAGGGTTTGTAAGCAAACAGCATGGATCCTGATCAGACTGCGCAAATGCGCAGGCTGGTCTGGATCCATGCTGGTCGCAAACGCATTACGCTGGTTTTGTCATGACGTGGCTCATATATTGATCAGAGCATGGTGAATATGAAATTACATCATAATCCACGGGTGTTACAGTTATGGTGTAATGTGCTTTCCTTAGCATGCAGGATGGGTGATCACCTAACATTTGTTTAACGTGCTAATTGTTTTTGCTAATTTTCCTTGTTATAATAATATATAACAACATGTTCCAGACAAATATTCTCCAATTCCAGTGGTGAAATTTTTTCAATGTAGCCCATGTACTTTTCTTGATATTCTTGCAGAAATTCTGACAAACATTTTCATTAAAATCTTGCCGCATAGAAAGAAAAATCTGCAAGCATAACAAAAAAAGTACAAAGGCTATATTGGAAAAATATGTACCATAAGAATAAGAAAGTATGTGCCTGGAAAATGGTGAATTTTCAGTATTAGAATTTGAAAGATATAAAGAAAAATTAGGAAAAACTATTAGCGGTGACCTAGTGCTACCTTAAACAATTGTCATGTGATCACCCATCCTTAGGATCGGCAGCAAAGTTATCTCCCATTAAATAACTGGTTAGTTATGAATAATTGTAAACAATAATAGGTCATCATGGCCTTGTTGTTTCCAAGTTGTCTAGGTGTTGACAGTAGATAACATATTCAGTAGGATTTGGAGAGTGATAAAGGTGTCAAGTTGTTAAACTTTCTTCTTTGTCAATTTTGAAATCAATCCTTCATTGTATAAACTGTACATGTACGTATCATATTAAGAGTTGGAGATCTTACTGGCATATATTTATTTTACCAGGTGATCATATGATATCAGTGATTGGTTTACAACAGTTACATGGACAGTGGAACATGTCAGATCAGCTGTTACAACTACTGGGTGTAACGAAAGAAGATGTGAACAAATTAACATTTTCTAAGGTAGTAATATTGGTCACATTAATTGCTGCATAATGCTAAGTACAAGGACATGATCCCCTCTTAAACCTGTACTAGATTTTTGTCTTGCCAACGTGTTTCTTGTTACTGCAAACTGTAAGTGGATAAAATAAATTCAATTGTGTATTTGTTTGTTATATCATCAATTAATTCAAGTTGTAGTTAATCTTTAGTCTTAAAGTTACATGGTAATTGTTTAACTCTTGAGCTTTGGCTTGTATAAAGGGAGTTATCAGTATGAAACTCTTGTATGGAATTCTCAAATGTGCAACTTATAAGATTTTAGAAAACATCAAAAGTAGTCTCTTAGCTTTTCAGTTTACATATATGTATATCAGGATGACGAAACTTTGGTGATTAAGAAATAATGTCACTGAATCTTTTATATGCTTTTTAAAGATTTCTGATTTTTATTAAGTCTTTTATTAAGATTTTACCATAATTGATCAGATAAGGCCCGCGCCATGACAAAACCAACGTAATGCATTTGAGACCAACATGGATCCAGACCAGCCTGCGCATCCGCGCAGTCTGATCAGGATCCATGCTGTTCACTATCAGTTTCTCTACTTGTTATAGGGTTTCTAAGCGAACAGCATGGATCCTGATCAGACTGTGCAGACGGGCAGGCTGGTCTGGATCCATGCTGGTCCCAAACGCAATATGTTGGTTTTGTCATGACGCAGCTCAATTATTTCATGGATTCAAACTTTATTTTTGTAGGATTCTAGTGTTGTTTGTACAGTGTTGGTTCTTGCTTGGTTACATAAACAGTTTTCACAAAGACAAGAAGAGTGGCAGATGATAGAAGCAAAAGCACTTGCCTGGATATCTACTCAAAGTCCTAGCTTTACAACAGAGGAACACATTAAACACATTACAGAAGTGATGTGGACCAAGTAATAATGTTCATACATGTATATATAGTCATATGTATAGAGAACTATCTATGAATCATTATTTCTAATCAACCTTTATGAAAATAGCACAGAAAAATGTTGTTCAGCAAGCCTCTAGCAAGCTTAAAGATATACCTTGCTCTAATTTGATACTAGAAAAAATGATAATTTAAACTCTACACACTTAAGGTGGTCACAAAATGAATATATAGTGTCATTAAAAAAACTGGCAGTTTTTTAAGGAAAGACCAACTTTACTTGACCTGCATTAGGAGATGCAGCCCATCATACATAGTTTATTCTTATTTTTTTATTCAAATTAGACATATACAGTAAGAATTCCATAGATTACAATAAACTTCTATGATTAAAATATTTAACTCAAGGATGAGCATAGTACTGTGCATCTAACTTTTTCACAGACAAGTTTGATGAGGATTTATATAATATGAGTGATCCAGAATGCCAGATTACTTTCATGTAAAAAAATATAGAAGGTAGGAAATGAAATTCCTTTCATTTATCAAAAAGGGTTTGCATAAACTTAAAAGACACCAAAATGATTGTCATGAAATAGTACTCTCAAAATAATTTCCTATGACATTTGTTGTGATTTGTTGATTTTCATGTCCTTAAAGTGTGTTATTCTTTATTGTCCCCCGCCTTTTCGAAGAAAAAAGGGGGATATAGAAATAGGCTCCGTCCGTCTGTCCGTCCGCACTCACAGGAGAGTAATTATGTGGCTAGAGGGACAATAGGTTACTGTTCTTTCTCTTTGATGTCATTTATTCGGTAATGCTTTTTTGTGGCTATTTTCTTTTGGGTGGCTAAAAAGAACAATAGAGGGAACAATAGAGTAGCTACATAATTACTGTCCTGTGAGAACGTCCGTCCCTCTGTCCGTCCGTCTGCACTCACAGGAGAGTAATTATGTGGCTAGAGGGACAATAGGTAACTGTTCTTTCTCTTTGATGTCATTCATTCCTTAATGCTTTTATGTGGCTATTTTCTTTTGTGTGGCTAAAAAGAACAATAGAGAGAACAATGGAGTAGCCACATAATTACTCTCCTGTTAGAACTTCCGTCCGTCCGTCACACTTTCGTGTCCGGTCCATAACTTTGTCATTTATGAAAGGAATTTGAAATAACTTGGCACAAATGTTTATTATAATAAGACGATGTGTCATGCGCAACAACCAGACCCCTACCTCCAGGGTCAAGGTCACACTTGCTCATTCAAGGTCAACATTGCCTATTTGAGGGTATTTTTTTGTCCGGTCCATAACTTTCTTATCTATGAAGGGATTTTGTAAATACTTGCCATAATTGTTCACAATAATCAGACGATGTGTCATGTGCAAAAACCAGTCACCTACCTTCAAGGTCAAGGTCACACTTGGAGGTCAAATATTAACATAGTCTGTTACAGGGTATATTTGGTGTCCGGTCCATAACTTTGTCATTTATCAAAGGAATTTGAGATAACTTGGCACAAATTTTTGTTATAATAAGACGATGTGTCATGCGCAAAACCAGACCCGTACCTTCAGGGTCAAGGTCGTACTTTCTCATTCAAGGTCAACATTGTCTATTTGAGGGTATATGTCGTGTCCGGTCCATAACTTTCTTATCTATGAAGGACTTTTGTAAATACTTGCCATAATTGTTCACAATAATCAGATAATGTGTCATGCGCAAAAACCGGTCACCTACCTCCAAGGTCAAGGTCACACTTGGAGGTCAAATACTAACATAGTCTGTTACAGGGTATATTTTGTGTCCGGTCTATAACTTTTTCATAGATCAAAGGATTTTGAAAATACTTCGCACAAATAGTCACTATAATAAAAGGATGTGTCATGCGCAACACCTGCATCCCTACCTCCAAGGTCAAGGTCACACTTAGAGGTCAAAAATTAACATAGTCTGTTATAGGGTATATTTTGTGTCGAATCTAGAACTTCTTCATAGTTCAAGGGATTTTGAAATAACTTGGCACATATAGTCACAATAATAAGCCGATATGTCAGGTACAACACCTGCACCCCTACCTCTTAAGGTCAAGGTCACACTTAGAGGTCAAAGGTTAACAGAGACTGTTATTTGGTGTATTTATTGTCCCATCCATTACTTCTTCATAGATTAAGGGATATTGAAAATACTTGGCACAAATAGTCACAATGATTAGATGATATGTCATGCGTAACATCTGTGTCCCTACCTCCAAGGTCAAGGTCACACTTAGAGGTCAAAGATTTACATAGTCTGTTATAGGGTATATTTTGTGTCCAATCTATAACTTCTTCATAGTTCAAGAGATTTTGAAAATACTTGGCACAATTAGTCTCAATAATAAGACGTTATGTCATGCATAACACCTGCTCCCCTACCTCCAAGGTCAAGGTCACACTTAGAGGTCAAAGCTTAACATGATAGATTTTTAAATTCTGTGTTTCATTTTATTTTTTTAACAAATTTATTGTTACATTTGCAGATCTAGCATTGATCATAATTTTGGACTGAATGTCCTGAGATCCATACCTCAATCTTTTGAAATAGCACAATTTTAAGCTTCATATAAAACTTCCGGGGCGGGGGACGTTGATAACTCTGTTACAAATTCTTGTTCATGTACAACCTAGTTACATGTTGTCATGCATTTTGTATTCTACTGTAACAGTGGTTGTTAAAAGCATTTTTTGTGTCGCCTCTACGGAGTAGTGGCGACATATAGGGATCACTTCTCCGTCGTCTGTCTGTCCGTCTGTCAGTCCGTCACAAAACTTGTCCGGACTACTCCTCATAAACTACTGGTGCAATTTTATCCAAACTTTACAGGGATGATCAGTACCAAGTCTAGTTGTGTATATTGTCAGCATTTTCCGGGTCAATGATTTTTGTCAGAGTTATGGCCCCTTAATAATTTTTATTTTTAAAGTTTGTCCGGACTACTTCTCTTATACCACTAATGCAATTTCAATGAAACTTTACAGGATTGATCTGTAGCTCAAGTCCTTGCGCATATTGCACGGGTTTTCTGGTTGAATGATTTTTGGCTGAGTTATGGCCCTTTGATAAAAAGGTGTTTTTTTCTATGTGTTGCCAGATACACAAAAGCTTGTCCGGACTACTCCTCATAAACTACTGGTGCAATTTTATCCAAACTTTACAGGAATGATCAGTACCAAGTCTAGTTGTGCACTGTCCGTCTGTCTGTCCGTCTGTCACAAAACTTGTCCCAACATGAAATTGGCCATCATGAGGCGACACATGTGATCACTGATCGCTCTTGTTTTTTTTTTGTTATTGTATATCACATGATTGGTATAAGTTTTGCATATCATCTTAATTTATAACATTAACTTGTTGCACCTATAATATGATTATTTATAGCATTTTATATAACATTATAATATTATATTTCAGTCAGATATTTTTGAAGGGAAACTATTTATTTACCATAATTATGCATATATTTTATAATATTCTATAAATGGAGAATTATATTTTTCCACCTGTTTGCTGGTTTAGTGCCTTGTTTTCTTGGATGTGGTTAAAGAGTTTTCTACAACTATGCTACCTAATATGTAATTTAATATAGACAATTTTACCATGCAATTTTGCATTTAGTTTATTTTCCCTGTGATGCTAAAATAGTTTCAAACCAACATGTGCGAAAAGGACTTTTAATCTGTGATATCTCTCTAAATTAATTGAAAAAGTGACATACATTTTCTGTATGTCATAATGTGCAATCCATGCATTTTACATAAATTCAGATTTTTTGTTAATTGATTCGAAATTTACTTATTTCATTATTTTAGATGCTGAGTATAATATTATGTGATTTTGTTTTAGTATATTACAAGAATAGCAATCTGTTCTTTTTGGCTGTTTTGCCTTAACCTGAAACTTGTTAAATTTTGTAAGATGTAAATATTTTAGGATTCTGTCATTTTAATGCTGGAGATTATTTGATTTGGATGGATGGATTTTAGCTTGACTATTCGAAGAATATGGAGAGCTGTTGCAGTTGCCCCAGCGTCCACGTCTTCGTCTGCTTTGGTTAAAGTTTTTTTGTTAAGTCAAATATCTCAATTATTGCTTGAGATATTCAATTGAAACTTACAATACCTATTTATAGTAACAATGTACATCAGATTGACAAGTTGGATAACTCTACCTAGAATATTTACAGAATTATGCCCCTTTTTAACTTAGAAATTTTGGTTAAAGTTTTTGTAAAGTCAAATATCTCAATTATTGCTTGAAATATTCAATTGAAATATACAATACTTTTTTATAGTAACAATGTACATCAGTTTGCAAAGTTGCATAACTCTGCCTGCAATATTTACAGAATTATGCCCCTTTGAAACTTAGAAATTATGGTTAAAGATTAAAGGTCTTAAGAACTATCAAAGATATTTAGTTGAAACTTTACACATGTACTTAGAGTCATAATTGAAGGTCACATCTCAAGATCTATTACTCTGGTATTTTGACTGAATTATGCTCCCTTTTATACTAAAAAAATCTCATTTGCTTGGTTAAGTTTTGCATGCAAGTTTTGCATATCTCTGAAACTATTTAAGATACAAACTTGAAACTTCATATGTATATTTGGGGTAATAAAGATCACTGAACAGCACTCATATCTGTGTCATGTATTTAGGCTGATTTATCTCCCCTTTTTTACTTAGTTTCTTGATTAATGTTTACATGTAAGTTTTACATATCTCAATAACTATCAGAGATTTTGATTTGAAACTTCACATATGCATGAAGGGTCATAATTGTATGTCACTGACCAAGTTCCATAACTCTATCTTGCATTTAGGCTGATTTATCTCCCCCTTTCTACTTAGTCTCTTGATTAATGTTTACATGCAAGTTTTACATATCTCAATAACTATCAAAGATATTTATTTAAAACTTCACATATGCATTTAGGGTCATAATTGTAGGTCACTGACCAAGATCCATAATTCTATCTTGCATTTAGGCTGATTTTTCTCCCCTTTTGAACTTTATATTTAGATCAACATAAAGGTGCAATAATTATTACAGAACAATCATTATCATTTCCAAAGGTATTTTTCTCTCAATACATTTCCTTTTCTAACATGACTGTCCATTCAAACTCCAACACATCCATTACAAAACTGCTAACTTGTTCCTTGATTTTAAAAGGAATTTGTTGGATATACTTTTATAAACAATAATTGATAATCCTGATAATTTAATCTTTTTTACACATTTTTGTTCACAGGTAGAGGCTTTTTTTATAATTAATGTGTACTCTTGTGTACAGAAGTACTTAACAAAAAAAAGTACTTTTGCTATCATAATTATTCACATCTTTATTAAGACACCTTTACACATTGCAATTTGACGGTAAGTGCACTTTGTTTGAAAGTGTTTTTGCTTTGTTCAAATGTTTATTTGCTTTTATGATATTCAGATTCTTATTAGTAACTTAAGCTTATGATGGCATCTTCCCTTTTGTATATTCATACATACTTATAAAAAGTACCAGTTGTTTCAAATATAACTGCATCTTTTTGAATAAATATTTCAATTTTCACTTGCAGTACTTCAAACTTCTTTTCAAAAGTCATGTTCATTATTATATTCTGATAAATATAAAATGCATTTCCACTAAACCAGCCGGGCTAGTGCATAGGTAGAGTGCTGGTCTGTCAAAAAGTAGACCTGTATTCAATCCCTGTCCTTTCCATCAGTCTAATGCCATTATTTTGATAACTGTTCTAATTGTCGAGCATGCTGTCATCGGACAGCTGTGATTTGCTTATTTCCAAATTTATGCCCTTTTTTATACTCAATTAACATGATTGGCACAGGTCCCATCACTCTGATTTACATATTTATGCCCCTTTTTTATATCTAATGAAACATCCTTGTGACAACTCTATCGAATAGTCGAGCATTGCTGTCCTCCGACAGCTCTTGTTATATCTTGTATCTGTGAATTTATCTTCATATACGCAATGAGCCTATTTTTATGTCAATCTTATGCTAGAAAGTCTTTCATGTAAATATTTCTAATGTATTTTTATCTTTTATGTTAAATGAACTAATCCTTCTAATTATATGTAATAGCAGAGCAATATTATGTTAATCTAAAACATTCATTGCGCAATTTGCCTCTCACGTTATAAAGGTATGTATATACTTATGCATGCATGTATGAAGATTTACTTAATGTTGTTATTAGAAACTCAACCAGATTAGTGAACATGGTGTAGCAGGGGTTAATTAAGATCACTGTGATGTCCATTTGCTGTTCCATGACTGCTCTGTAAATCCTATATTGTGTTAAAAAAAATCCTAAATTTTGCTTAAATATCTATATGAACAGGGCCATGTGATTAACCTTTGACATACTTGTGCAGGCTCAAGTTTAAGATCATACTTACAGGTTAAATGTCAGAGTGACAGTTTGCTATTTTGTGTCTGCTCTATGAATTTCTATAAATTCTATTCCTGTCTAAGAATTTTCTTGAAACTGGGCTCAGATATTCCGTCCTAAAAGGCAATGCACATAACTCATAATGCAGATATGGTAACTCAAGGTCAAGGTCACATGTTTAGGTCAAATGTTTACATCAACAAGATGATGTGCTTAATCTTTGTTGCCAAATTGCAGCCCTTTTGTCAAGGTCATACTTGAATTCCAATTGTTACACAATTTTGTGTCCACTTTAAAACATTTTAACCCTTGAATTTCTTAAAACTTTGCTTAAATGGGCCAAATAAGGTTTAGAAAAGTTTTAGATATTTCACTTTTACTTTGGAAAGAAACACAATTTCTCTTGTGTGCTTCAACATGCACCCATATATAAGTGTACTAGAGAGGCACTAGACTCATGTTACTTTTAACTTCAACAAAAACTATTTATCAAAGTTTAGGATTTTACAAAATGATAAAAAAGAATAAGAAAATGATGTAATATATCTATTTTGCTACAATAAAATATTTTTTGTAATAATCACCACCAACTTGTATATGTATATTTGGTGTTGTTTAGAATAAGCATGTTTCAGTAACCATTCATGTAAGTTATCAATTAAAGAATTTGATATACTCTGTAGATTAATTGGTTACAGTCGTCCAAACATAATAACTACTATCATTTTGAAAGATCTAGAAATAAACATGTTTTTTTTTTTATTGATATCCATCATAAATATCAGGTAATGCTAGCTAAAACTGAAAGCCTAAATGGACTGTCGTAAATTTTTCAACTGATAATACAAATAAATTGATCAACGGTACTTTAAAAGTGAAAAGTTTGTGGTTTTTTTTGTGTTTTTTTTTATAGTTTTATAAATACATTGTTTGATATGTTCTTGTATTGTTCTTGATGATATTTATGTACAAATAAAAGGAGCTAAAAGTTTTATTCTGCTCTATTAATAAATCATAAGTTGATCTCTTTGTTTTATTTTACATATATATGTTTATTTATCTTAATCTCAAACTGAGATTTACAAGGATGTATAAGATCTATCAGAATATTCGATTTTCGATTTCCATCTTTAAAGAATGAAATAATTTTGATGAGGAATGTGCATCTTGTACAATTTTGCAGTATTCATATGAACACGTCAATGATGCATATGTCAAACAGGAGTGCAGGACAAAGGCCCTCCCCCAAAGCCACGGTGACAAAGGCCCTCCCCCAAAGCCACGGTGATAGGGCGTTCACCACAACTTTTGCGCTTTGAAAGCCCTCTAATGGAAAAAATGACGGGCGGACTGAAGATGAAAGGGCAGGTAAAAGCCCCCCCCCCCCCCCTCAATTTTAAAATGTCCATATGAAAAATAAGGGACTTACTTTCAGTGATATGAATAGCGCGTGACATGTTGTTTGAAGGTGAACTTATGCAAATTTAGCTAGGTTTCATAAACTTTAGGCATAAACATTGAAAAACAGGAAAAATTGTAAAGATTTAATTGCAAAATAATGCAGTCACGAATATACAATAACTGTATCTCTGCGTAGGAAGGAAACTCATAATCAGTTAGAATGGGAAATACAAACGCAACGTTGTCTTATTTATGTTGCATATTTACAATGCAATGATCCTTTAAGTCAATAAAGTGTCGCACTGTCCGGTGATTTGGTCAGGTGCACTAAAAGTGCACATGGTGTGCACTTCTAATTCAGGTTTAGTGCACACTATGTGTACAAGGTTGGGAACTTGAGTTTGAACTCAACTGTATGTGTTGTGGTTCTCTGTTCTTTCTCGTCATACACTTAACTATAGCCCAGGAATTGTTTCATTGCATTTTCATTTACAGGGCATTCTTTTGTCATCGTCGGCTTCTGTTTCAAATCGAGCTGAAAATAGAGGTTAAGATGTAATACTTTGGACAATAGTTCGAATTTGGTTATAATTGTATTTCAGTGGGTATTCTTAAATTGATTATGAATGTTAGACATATTTTCAATCGTAATTGTACCGAAATATACTTTATTGTTCTTTAAATGTCAAATGTATGCATTCGTAAATCTAATACATTATCTAAGATTATTAAAGTCTCTGTTTTATTACATCTAAAACCACGTGGTAGAACTGTAATCCGAGGTTATTTAACCCATTACTTCATGAGCATTTTGTGAAAAATGGCTGTTTTCATTGAAAAGTCTCCCGTTACAAGTTCAAATTGCTATAATACTATAAAAACTGCTTCAACACTAATCAAACTTGGCACAAATGTTGACTGGACCATTGCCCTTGCAACAACATGCTCAGGCTTAAATTTTCTGTTACCATGGCAACGAGGGGACTTCTCAAAATTGCCAAAAATCACTATTTTGCGTTGATTTTTTCCATTATAATTGATTTCAAAGTGCTGCAACTTCTCAATGGATTGAGATAGAGTCAAATGCTTTTCAGCGTTGGTTACACGTTACCTTATGATCAATCTGGGGTCATTTATAGCCTCTCACAAGTCCAAAATTTTCTTGGCGATGAGGGGGACTCCGCCCCCCTTCAAACCCCCCAAACAGAAGGGGGCACATCCCCCTTCTGGCAACCCCCTGATGAATCTTTTGGTTGGGGGGCCGCGCCGAAAAAGTGGTCACTTTTTTTAACAACATTTCTCAAACAAAAACAAGTGTTAAGGGCCTAAATAATGCATTTTTTCACCATTTGAGACAACAAAAAGGGGGGGGGGGTGAAAAAGGCGTTAAAAGGCGTGTATATGAAGTAATGGGTTAAACATTCGGAACTGCCTCGGCTATTATCTATATCCTTATCCGAAGACTGACGGAAAGGGCCGAGTAGTTGCGATTGGTTATTTAAATAGCCTGCGTGTAATTTAGTCATTCACAAATTTAGTGTTCGTATACCCGTACAAATTTATCTTCTTTGAAACTTGAATGTTTACAACGATTGCATGAAAGGAATGTCTATACACTTGTAAAGAACATTACATAAGTTATTATAATTCTAATTAATAATTTCGTCAAGATGAGTTCATCAAATAATGATAACGATGACAACAGTGAGAAAAGGAAGATTTCAATTTACGGATTAGTCAGATCAGAAGACCGCCCGAGTAAGTTTTATTTATAATATTTCAATAACTGTCCGGTTTACTTCCTTCTTGGGATCAAAGGTCAATGAATTAAATTTCAAAATCTTCCACCGATTGGAAAGTTTTTTTGGTCAATATTGGCGTACCTCGGGAGATATTTTTCTGTGCCTAAAAAGTTTTTTAACCCTCTTACATTAAAATAAATAAATAAATAAAACCACGATAAATAAGACACTTAAATCTCTAGTCTCCAAAAACTGATATTGGAATGTTTAAAATATATATGTGTTAGACAAATGCATTTAAAGGCAGCAGTTTTTAGACCTAAAATTTTATCTACTGGGTATCTGGGGCAAAAGTGACTTAAAATCAGTATTCTAACCAGCCCTGCAGCTTTTTGTACACTTTTGTCCGTTTATTTTTTATCTCATCTGAACTGTAGGTTAAGCCCAAATATTATAGAATTAGTTTGTTTACTCTCTATACATGTAAATGTCAAATGGTTAAGATAACACATGTTTTGTGTGTGTGTGTGTTTGGTTTGTTTACCCTCGCCACCGGAATGAACCATATGGGCGAGCACATACTTCATTTAAAACTTGCTTTATTTATATGGGAACTAATTTAATTTGTCTATAGTTTTATCGGTACATGTGTTTACGTGTGTGCCATAATTCCTACCACAAGTTCGTATAAAAGTACGTAACCCATGATAGGAATAAGATGGGATTGCTCCCATACTAAGTTAAAATGACGTGTATTTAAGAAATGTACAGCATATTTAAATTACCTAAGGTTAAAAGGGCCGAGACGTTTATAAAAAGCACCGTCTCTTATAACAGGTCAACTATTATAATATTCTATGATTAAAATGAGAGAAAGAAAGTCTTGTTAAAGCAATGTCAGGAACGCATTTTCCCAATTCAATGTGGCTAGTCATTAAAGGTCTAATTTGATCAGATACATACACAAAGGAGTGTCAGAATATTAAAAAACAAGTTTGTTTTAGTATGGAAATGATAGATTTTAATAAATTTCTAGTATATTTCACCCGAACACCTGCTTAGTTAAAGATGTTCTTATTGGTCTAAAAGTGATTTATGATCATGCGATATTTTTATATATCTTTTTTTTTGTTGGGGGGGATTTACATTAGTTTAGTTTAGGGGAGGCACTCTCGGAGTGTGTAGCGTTTATATATTAGAGAATATTGTTTAAATGATTACATATTTTCAGAGCCTGGACATACATGAAAAATACGGTGTTCTATATCGTCCGCACAAAATTTCGCTAGTAACACGAGATAATTATGGCCTCAAAAGGGCGAAATTTAGTACTAAACTTCGCATGTCTTAAATTTCGCTAGTCTCTTGAGCACTTTTTCTTGAGAACAGGGAAACATTTTTTTTTCTATAATTTATAATAAACTATCTCGGCCTTTTCCGTCTGTCTTCGGATGAGGACCTCGAACACAATAGTATGAATACACAGAACGGATGCGGTATTTCGGTCTAACATACGCTAAGAAACTAAACATGTAAACAAATAGCATTTTAATGCTGGGAGTTGTTGACAAATTTATTTCCAATATATGAAGTAAAAGTCCACCTTAAATAAGTGAATTCATAGGTACAAAAGCAAACAAAACATTATTTATATATTTATTATTACGGTTAAGGAAACCGAAAGTACAAAAAAACTGATGACATTTAGTCGGATGTGTTTAAAATTGTACATCAGTGGGCATATTTAAATTATAAATTGGTGTCAGACATATTTTCAATCACAAGAGTTCCGAAACAGACATTACTTTTCTTTTGGATGTCAAATATATACATTCGTTTTACATTATCTCTGTGTCTGTTTACATCTGAAACCTCGTGGTAGAACTACTTTCAATCCGTATTGTTTCCAAGGTTATTATAGATAATAGCCGAGGACGTTCCGATTGGCTACAGTCTCACTAACATCTCGGCAGAGCCGGGGTGATTCGGGTACGACCGGCAACAAACGGGGTACATCCGTAACTCTGCCGGCAACGTTCGGGATGATCCGGGAACATCTGGCATTCGACCCCGGATGGAATAAAATATTTAATATCCCCGGGGTTGTCCGGGATGATCCGGAAAGTATAGTTTTGCCGGCTTCATCCTAAGCTCTGCCTGGAACGACCAGGGTTACACCGGAAAGCATCGTAGCTCTTCCGGCACAAACCGGGTGAATGCCGGCAGAGCCCCGGAGGATGCCGGCAGAGCCCCGGAAGATGACGATGGAGCTACGGTTGATCCCGGTAGAGTCCCGGCAAAGCCCGGTTCATTTTTAAAGAATCACGACAATTTGCGATGATTTCACTTGTTTGTATTAAAACCCTTCCCATTTCCCTTTTATCCAGTGTATTAAAACCCTTCCCATTTCCCTTTTATCCAGTCTTGCATAAGTTTTTTTTTTTTAAAATCATCATGAATTACTGTTCTGGATCAATAGATATAATATTAAATAAAAATTATGTATCCATGTTATCATTTTTGCGCGTTTTCAATCCACCGGGGTTCTACCGGGACTCTGCCTGGATCGTCCTGGGCACTGCCGGGGCTCTGTCTGGATCGACCGGGGCTCTTCCGGCGTGCGAAATGTAGTAATAATTTTCGCCCTTTTCTAAGGCTTTAGAGGCGATAATTATTGCGTGTTTACTAGCGAATTTATGTGGACGAAATAGGACATCGTAGAACAGGCTTATTGTTTAAATGGTTAATGAATGATGTGTGTTGATAATAATCAGAGACTTGTAGTTTTGATGTATAAATGGTTTTGACTTAAAAAAGGATACAAATGCCTTATAGTATTTACTACACAATTACTTGCTAGCAGACAAAAGTCACACTTTAAGGTTGAAGATAACTTGGCACAAATGTCTTCCACATTATGATGATGTGTTGCGTTTAAGACACATGTCCGTACCTCAAAGGTCAAGGTGACATTAAATATAGTTTGAAGCTACTACTTATCCTGAAAGTACACAATCATGTTCGGACTTTGTCATGTATTGAAGGATTTTTAAAAGTTCTTGGCACAAATGTCTACCGCATCAAGAGGACGTGTGGCGTATAAGGCCTATGTCACTACCTAGAAGGTAAAGGTCACCTTTAAATGTTGACGGTACACATAAGTGTCACGACTGTAGGTTTGTCATGTATTGAAGGATTCTAGATAAACTTGGCATGAATATCTACCACATCAAGACGATGTGTCACATTCAAGACCCATATCCCCACCTCCAAGGTGAAGGTGCTAAGTTTGCTGAAAATAGCACTTCATTTCACATGAACAATGTTAAGCAATTAGTTGCTTTTATGATCTTTTTTTTTTCTAAATAATATTTTTCTGTGTGTAGTTTTGTTTAAGATTTTAAAGAAACGTAAAGTTGTTATAATTGTGTTTGAAATGTGGCTGTGGCGGCGTTTCTTATGCAGTTAGTGAATTTAGCGTTGAAATGGACCGTTTCATCATGAAACAGAATATTTTTCATCAATTTTTATCTAAACGACGATTCATATAAAAAACAAATACGTTTCAAGTAGATATAAGGTCCAGAAATGAAATAAAATTGAAATCAAATCCAAACATAAGTTAATAAAGAAAATATATGATGTTTGTTCTGGGAGACAGCTCTGTCGTGAAGGAGGTTGTCATGTTTCGCAAAGGAGATAGCTCTATGGTAATGTAAAAAGTATCTGATTGTTTGTGTATATTTTTTTATTACAATTATCTCTGCACAAATACTTAATAAAACAGTATTATACTAATGTAATTACTATATATGTATATCATGAAGTAAATTGCATAATATGATACAATGTATTAACATTTACACTGAAAACAACCTATACTTAACAGCCTACTGTTTTATGACGTATAATAATTACATTAGTATATATTGTTTTTATTAATTTTTTGTAGAATTCATTTTTTAACGCAATATTCAGTGTTTCTCTTTTGCTCGATCTCCTCAATAATATAATATGTAACACTTGGAATCATAAAAAAAGAAACTTATTGACGCTACAAAGAACACTACAATTCAAACTTATTCATAATAATATCAAATCACTGCCGGTATTTCTGGACATTTTGTTAAATTGTGAAACGGAAAGTTAAATCTTTACATACGAACTTAAATGTAGGTGTTCAAACAAGTAAGCGTGATTATATTCTAATAATTTACATTTCCTTTCCGCACACGAGCCTTAATTTGTTTGTCCGAACTAGTAAGAGAACAAACAAACCAATGCTGAAAATATAGTGAATCAGTTCCGCTCATTCCCTGCGGTCTGGAGACCGCAGGGTATTGGTACGCGTTTAACTTTTGAGGCATGGAGGAGCACGTGACCTGTTTTCGGTACATGGAGGAGCATGTGATCTGTAAACCGTACACGATTGGTTAATTGACCTTTTCGAAAACCTGGCTAAATACCGTTTATCGGTACGTTACGGAATTACCTCTAGCGAATTAGTCAGAATTACACATAATAAGAACAAAAAACTATTACGTGATATTTCTAATTTTCTATAATTAATTTACTGTTTAAGGTGGAAAAACTTGAATGATATATTCGAAAATTATCATTGTTTCTTTAATATATGTATCTCAAATTTTACAAACAATAAATTGTTTATACTGAAAATCTACAAAATTAAAATATTCGTAGTGGCATCTGCCATAATAAATAGAGATATTTTCTGCGTAAACTTGTATGTTTACTTTATTTTTTTTGCTTGGAATTATTCATAAAATGGTAGGCCTATTTAATCATTTTCTTAAAAAGAAATATTTGTTTCATGTTCAACGGTCACCAGTTTCCAAAGACCTTCTTCTATTTTGATCGATTATTGTCAACTATATTCCTGATACAAAAGTTTATTTATTCCCCTCTCCCAAAACAATGTTGAAAATAGTTAAATGAAATAGCTTTGTATCATTAAAAATGTTCCCCGCAGAAAACCATTTTACTTGTTACATCGATTTGATTAATAATGTAGTATTTTTAGCGCACGAACATCGCGCCCGAAATAAGAACGTTAACATATTGCCAGAGACTTTTATCTTAGTGTTAGACATGATCATTTTAATCATTTTTGAATAGAATTGATATATATTAATGGACACAATTCAGAAAACTGCATAATTAAGTTAATTAAACCTAAGCAACATTTGATAACGGGTTTTTGTATAATTTGATTTCTTAAAATGTACATGGCCGTCAATCTGTCTTTCTCTTTCATTTAAGTTCATGCTTGTATGTAAGTTTACTTAAGTTTACTTGTATACACAGGAATGTCATATAATTTGTTTAGGGCTTCTATGACATTCCTGTGTATGTATACATCCCCTTAGACGCGTTGCGGTATTCAAGATACCCGCACTTGAGTGATAAGCTATCTAATCATATCACTTCATTGCTGTTTTTCTCTTTCATTGCTGTTTTTCTCTTAAAAATGAATATAAAATACCATAGAATATCATGATTAGTATACAAATATGTTGTATGCTAGAATTTATAAAGAGGTAATTGGTATTTCACTTAAAATGGTTTTAATTGGCGATTATTTAAAAAAAGCAGTTTGCTAGTAATATTTGTTCTCACTTTTCATTTCAAATTAATGATAACATTTAGATATTGATCAGTAATTTAATAATAACAATGAAAGTTTTATAATTACCTAGAACACTTAACGCTAATTGTGAGACGAACCCTAAATGGGTGCTGCCATTTTGAAATGGACGTCACGTCAGGTTACAACGTAAGTCAACGGAAAAAATAATTTTATCATTTGACCACATTACTGACTTTATGAAAAAACAAACAAAAAAAACACAGAAAAAAATCATGCATAGCGATATACGTCAGGGTTAACATGACAATTTTTTAATTTGAATGAATTTACTATTATATTTAATACAAAATGGAACACTGGTATTCAAATTTGATGGGACAGACTATGATGTAATTACTTTACATGTATATCATGACGTAAATTGCATAATAAATCATTAACAATTACAGTGTTCAAATTGTTATCGACTCAATATTTTTTTCACTGTAAACAACTTTTACTTTGTATATGTGATAAACAGCATACTGTTGTAGGTAAATAATAAATGAAGTATTGAACCTGCACTCATTCAATATCCTCTTAGTTAATACATATATCACCACTTTTGCCACGTACGTTTCATTTAGAAAATAACATCAAAATACATGTTAAGATTTAAACTTGTAGAGAACTTACAAAACATAAACATAGTAAATAATTGTCATCTGACTGCTTTTACACAGAGTATATCAAGACACGAGTAGTTTTGCTAATGTGTCGGGTACACCGAATATCAAAATCCATAATGTAATAAATACGATATTGTATTTTAAGAAAATTCAGATCGAAATTCTCACGAATGATCTTGAAAAAATAAACATTGCCATTGAAATAATTTTGATGAGTTTTAATGTATAATGTCTCAGCAACCGTATGCGCTAATCAATTCACTTCTTTCAATGTGATGTGGTTCATTTCCTTTCCATGGTGCTCGTTTCGGCCATAAAATTGCACAATTCTGCGTTACTGTTTCATAATGTCTTCGTTATTCAGGGTGTTTTAAAGAAATAAATGAAACATAGCTTTCTGACTAGCTGAAAACAATGTAGATACTAGTACTTTAGTAAAAATGTAAATTCCCTGGAGTACAAAATCTTCTCAGTAACCTTTAAAATCTAGTAGCCCTACACCAAAAGCTCAATAAAAATTTCTTGTCACCGGGTGACCGAAGGACGGATATTCCGATCCGAACTGCAAACATATGTCAGATATTTGGTCTTGCATATTCTACCATATTCGATTTAAGTTCTTTATCTTTAATTTCAATGGAAATTTATATTATTACAACCGTAACTACTTTCTTACAACTACAACTTCATTCATAACGGTAAAATGTCGTCATCCTAAGCGTGCCATTGTACAGCACGCGACTCATCTGGCACCCCCCATGCCAGATGAAATTTCCGGCATGGGTAAAACCAAACTCCTCGCAGCGGTTACTTCCCCTGATCTGTACAGTAGCAAAGCGTGACGTAACCGCTGTGAGGAGTTTGGGGTAAAACTCACGGAAACGCCAGACTGATATGCAAGAATAATAATATCTGTCATCTGTCGTAGATGGGCGGATCACCTCGGGATGGATATTCCGATCCGAACCGCAAACATATGTCAGATATTTTTTCTTGCATATTTTACCATATTTCATTATATTTTAAATTCTTTATCTTTATTTTCAATGAAAATTTATATCATTACAACCGTAACTACTTCCATTCAACAGCGTATGAATTACAAAATCATTCATAACGGTAAAATGACGTCATCTTTATCGTGCCATTGTACAGCACGCGACTCATCTGGAACCCCCCCCCCCCCCATGCAGATGAAATTTCTGGCATGGGTAAAACTAACGGAAACGCCAGTCTGATATGCAAGAAATGTTTCTTTATCACTTCAAATGGTCGTTTTGGTAAGTGATTAATAGAATATTAAATTCGTATAAGTTCATAACTGAATTTATTGAACTAGTTGAATAAATTATATTATGCTCGCCATTTTATTCAACTCGTTAAATTAAAATTCAGTATTAAACATACACTCCTTCAATTACTTCTATATTTTACGACAGTTGTACCGAAAAGAACGATATATGGCCGTTATGGTTCTCTTGTAGTAGTTTTTTTTTTTGGAAAAGTCTGTACATAGTATCTTAACGTTTCCAATCAGAACATATGCGTAAATTCTGACTTTCATTTGTATCATGGAATCAGCGACAGGTGTGGGTGTTGGACAAACAAGTTTAAACAATCATGAACTCTCTTTCAAACATTATTTCAGTTCCATTAAAGTCTATAAAGGTAGATGTTCAGATATTTGGCTATGTAGCTGAAGTGACATCCACACTGACCTACTTCAATACTGAGGAGACCCCAGTAGAGGCAGTGTTTACATTCCCTGTAGATGATGGCAGTGCAGTGTTTCAGTTTGAGGCTCACATTGATGGCCGTCATATTGTCGCTGAAATCCAGGAACGTGAGCAGGTTGGTTTTATACAGTTTTAAATATTTTATACTCCGTACAGTGGAGCCCCGCCTTTCGATCTCCCGTAGTCTTCAACAACCTAACCTAACATTACGACCTTTTTCCTAAGACAGAAATCATTTCTTCTTATTTCAATTGACTTCCGATCCAAAATTAGAGATCCTGTATGTTGTGATCAAAGTGGTAAAGCACAATTAGTGAAATTATATATATGTACATAATTATGCAAATAAAACAATTTTCAAACATCGAAGTATGTGTAAAATATGTACTGAAATATTGTCCACATTATATGTAATCATTTAAATATTTGCATTAACTTCTTATTGAAAAAAATGACTTAGACTTTATGGCAAATAAATTTCTAATTACCTCCCTTTAGTAACATGAAATGTAAATTCGGTAATATATTTACAAATAATTCTTTTGGAACTTACAATATTGATAAATCCTCATTTGAGCATTATAATTATAATATAACCATAAAAAATGAGTTACAGGTTCGTTTATCTAGAATATTTTGAAGCGTAACATTTTAATAAATTACATATAAAAAAATATGTTTGTTTGTTTTTGAGTGTTTTGAAAATGTTTTATCCTAAGCAATTTTAAATATATACACTAAATTCTGTTATTTACATTTTTGTATTGCTAGGGAGCATATTGTAAAGTATCGATATTCTATAAGCGCGGCGATGTGCACATCTATATCAAAAGTGTTGTATTTTCTATGCTAATTACATTTGTGTTTTCTTGTATATCCAATGAATGTAATAAACAAAAAAAAATAAAATAAGCTAATTAAGATAATCTCTTTATGTTATTGTAACAAAACGTTATATGCAGATAATCCTGTACGAAACACGTTGATGTTGTTGTGCTTTACATTTTATCTCAGGCACAATTGACTTATGATGATGCTGTTCAAAGTGGAAAAACAGCCATGCTGCTAAAAGAAGACAGTTCTGCTGGGGACATCTTCAGTTGCATGCTGGGTAATCTACCAGCTAAAACTGAGGCGTCATTGGTGATGAAATATGTGATTGAGTTACCACAAGAACCTGATGGTCAACTAAGATTCACACTCCCTACTGTACTTAATCCAAGACACTTTTCAGGTAGAAGTATATTACATAAAGAAGTATATTTATGCCCATTTTCAAGAATTTTCTTTTAAATTATTGGGTAACGCAGGATAACTTTTGAAGGATTTCAATGATTGTGTTTATATTTGGCCCGTAAGAATACATTTGCCATCTTATTCTTTTACCAAACCTCTACAAATAACAACTAAACACTCGATTGCAATATGCGAGAACGCTTGTATTTAGGGACATTTTCCGTATACAAGATGACATAATAAATGTGCAAATATAGCATAAAGCAATAAATATTGTAATTGATTAATAAATTTATCTCTGTCAAATAAATGCTTTGCAAATCGTGGTCGACTCGTGTCCAGGAAAAAATGCGAAACAAAAAAACACTTTTTAATTTTTTGATATGATTGCGAACATATTTATGGAAACCTGTGCCCATTTGCCATCACAGGAAATGACTGTCAAATACCACTGAATGTTGGGCCTCATCCTTGCAAAACATTAAACATTTATACAAAACGATGTAAAATATCTACACAATGTTTGCGTTATATTAGAAACATACATTTTATGATGTATGTTAAAATAAATTATAGCTATTCAAAGAATAAACGCAAACCTTGAGCACTTTTAAAATTGTACTTTTCACAAAATAATTTTGGCTTTGAATTTGAATTTAAAAGAGTTTGTCTCAAAGAGTTGCTCGCTAGAAACTGATTTTTAAATATGAAAACCCCAATTAGATACAGCTTGAACTATTCGAGCGAACACTGAATGTACAAAGGCCGGGTTTTTATTAAATCTAAACATTGTAACAATGGGTACCAAATAATCAAAACACAAGTTAAGATTTATTTTTGTAGCATCAATTAATTATTGATAAGAGTTATGCCCTTTAACGAAATTGTCTGTAAAATTATTGTTTTCCTTATGATAACTTTTGAGGGATATTGATTAACGATATGTTTAGATTGTTGATATTGCGCAGCTTTACCGACAACTTCTTAATTTGTTAAAAAAAAGCTAAATAAAAGGAAAAACGACAAACATGATTCACAAAAGATGTATTTATTATCATGTTGGGAGTATAACAACAAATAGCAATATTTGTACTTGAATTTATCTAGAATTTTTTTATACCACTTACCCCTATTTGTTCCGTAACAATGGGCCTCATTTTAGCTATTTTTGTGATAATTGGTCAGTGTGTCGAATAATGCAAACGTCCAGTTTTGGAGATGACATCTGTACCTGATTTATACTGTAAGTATTTTGTGAACACAAATGTAGTGATTTGTTCACACTCGAGAATAGGTATTTTTTCTTTTCAAAAGTGCAATGGGAAAACTATAGAAGTTATAATGGCGACATTAAAAAAAAATCATATATAAGTTAAAATTTTCTTTTTGTTTTAGGAGTAGGCGGAGAAGTTGCTGCTGAGGGTGCCACATATGTTCCACCATCTAAAGTACCGTATGAATTTAGCTTGATCGCTACAATCAAAGGTTATCATAAAGTAACCTCAGTCACCTCAGAAACAATCTCATTAAATGTCCATTTTGAGGATAACAACAAGATAGCAAAGGTGAGTGAATATTGTGTTGAAAAAAATTAAACCTACCACAGATCTGTTATATATTATATTTGATATAACTGATATTATAACTAAAGAAGAAGGTATACAGTTTGAATTAACAAGGTATTAACATTTTGAAGATTGAAATCAAAAGAAATCATTGCTTATATTTCTTTGACTTAACCTTGCTGTATGAGTGAGACTTTGAAGTCTCGGCAACATTATTTTCATATTGACATTGACGTGCGGTGGTACGGGCTACATGCATATTTATTTTTAGTAACTGTAAACATAATCATTTGTTTGAGCATATATCTTAATAAAGTTTATGAAAAGAGGATCTGTTTTCAAAGTTCATTTATCAATACGTAAAGAAGATATACAGACTTTAACTGTTCAAATATGCATTAAACTACAACCTAAAATTTCATATTGACATGTTAGTGATGCAACTTAGAATTTAGTCAATTTATAGAAATAATTAGTTAAATCTTACATATTCATAAACTTAGCTTGTTAAACAATTGAATCAATATCGATGATAAAAATAAATTACAGTCTTTAGATATGTACGAAAGACCGTTGGGGACATTTCAACTTGATGAATACCCAATTCTATCTTTGTGAATTCACGATTTTAGCTTCACGAATTTACGATATCAACTTCACAAATTTACGATTTCAACTTCACGAATTCATGATTTCATCTTTACGAACTCACGATTTCAACTTCATAAAATTCACGATTTCATCTTCCTGAAGATGAAATCGTGAATTTATGATGTTGTAATCGTGAGTCGTGAAGTCATGGAGCAAAAATCCTGAGTTTGCGAATTCCGTATGTTGAAAACGTGAAAGTTAAAATTTTGCATTTACGGAAATGAAATTCATGAAGTTGAAATATCTTTTGGGTCTTTTGTAGTTACGATAAACCTGCTACTGTTCATTGAAACCAAAACCATCTTGCTCTAGGCAGGTGTATTACCATTATTTTTCACTACAGCAATTTGTTAAATAACGTTTGTAAAGTTATAATACCTTGTAATTAAACTATGTTACTATTGTCAAGCATCTTATGGTAATTTGTAGTTGATGCTCTTCATTCAATTTTTCAGAAAGTGGCACTTTCATTAAACACATAATGTTTTAAAATTTACATCCTATTACATGTAAGCTTTGGTGATGTTTTAACTTGTCAACTTTTAAACCTATGATTATATTACAGGTTAGCCTTGGTGAAGATTTCAAGTTTGATCACGATCTTAGATTTATTGTACAGTACGAGTCACCTTATTCTCCACAGATTGTCCTTGAAGATGGAAATCCTGAAGCTGGTGAGATACTGATAAATACATTTATATTTTAGTGAAGGTAATAATATTGACACGCATATACCAGCAGTTAACAGTCAGGCCAGTCTCAAATACCAGGCAGTATAAACAAGTCTGAATATTGTCATGGCTGAGTTTAAGTATTTTGATATTGACAACAATATTTTCTTTTTTAAATCAGAATTCATTGCAAGGCTTATATACAATTTTGCTATAGACAGCATTATAGCTTTTCATTATAAAGATCCCTCCAGAAGAGCTGCAACTGATTACAAAGGCATATGATTTTAAACTAGTGTAGAGGCTTTCTCAAAATCGGAACAAGTTAACGAAAAACAGATTTTGGGTCATCATCCTTAAATTTAGATATCTGCTCCTGAAAGATGACTCAAAACGTAGGAACGTGAACCCCAAGTATTGTCCCATCATAAAATGCATTACCCCTTTTCGCGTGTGTTTGTGTGTGTGCTATGTGTGCTTTGCCTGATTGGATTTTAAGACAAATTGGTACATTGGCACGTTGACGATTGGTCACAAGGACGACAATCTGCCTTAGGTCAAAAGTCAAGATCACAGCAAAGAATCGAATTTAGTGTATTTGTGACACATTATACAGTCGGTGCATGACTTCTGTGTACCTGATGGGATTTCAAAATAGCTGCTACACTTGATCGCCATAAGGAAACAATATGTTGCTCGCAAAATCCAGGTCCCATACTAAAACTTCAAGGTCGTGGCAACTGATTGAAAATGCATTTTGTCATTTAGTTTTTATTAAGTGCAGCTAGAGTATGTCTTCTTGCCATTAGTTTTGCATGCTGAGTCTTCAATGTTCGTGTTAAATGTTGAATTCTGCTTAAGTCGGTGCTAGGGGGCGTGGACGGTAACTTGCACTTTCCAGTACCGTCCATGAACAGGCTCAACATTTTCAATTTTGCCGTGTTGGGCTTTCTTTAGGGATTCTGTTTTTCTCTATTCAAAATTAATACACATGATCATCTTAAATATTTGTTTGCAGACATATGTTCCCTACACCAATGTCATGTTTGTAGGTAAAATGTCAAATACTCTCAGGCTTACAACTTATTCATTATACTTGGATTGTCAAATTATTTTGGATATATCTCCACCGTAATCAGATGATGTGCCATTCTCAAGGCACATGTCCGCACCTCCAATGTTGCATTTGTGAGTCAAATAAAAATCTGCTTTTGTCAATTCTCTTTCCTTTATAACTTTGTGATTCCTTGATATATTTTCAAAACACCTGGCTTAACTAAGTTAATAGGATGTGTCATGCGCAACCACCATATCAAGATAATACTTGTACAATGTCATATGGCAGGAGCACCTTTATCTTATTGGCACATTTCTAGTTTTATCGAATGAATTAGTGATAGGATCCCTTTTATCTTAAAACCTGTATCCATTGAAACCCCTGAAAATTGATTATTGGATTTATTGAATGATTTATTTTCCTGCAAATCATATACAGATATGCAAGTTTCTTTTCAATATTTTATCACTTTTTTATTTTCTTCTATTAGATGGTCTATTGAAGGAGGACATATTAATGATCAGCTTTCACCCAGACCTGAAAGAAGTTGCCATGGCAACTAATGGCGAATACATCTTTGTTATAGATAGATCTGGTAAAGATAACCTTTTGATATCTTATACTAATAAGCACAATGATAGAAAAATACATGACTACATGACAAAGGTATGTTTTTGTGTAGGAAAATAACATTTCTTTCAAAGGCTAACATGTTAAGATTGCTTTCACTAAAGCAACATATATTTATACGAATTTATAAGAGTGGCATCTTGAGAATATTTATATGACTTTCACTAGTAGTTTATTTTTAAAAAGCATTTTGAAAATGAATAAGTCAATTGAATTCATAAAAGTTTATTTTATCTATATTTTAGGCAGTATGGATGGAGACCGGATTGCAAATGCAAAAGAAGCTCTTTTTCTTTTCCTAAAGAGTTTGCCAAGCAACTGTTACTTCAACATTATCAGTTTTGGGTCACAATATAGCTCCCTGTTCTCAAGGTATTTTGAAGGTTATTTAAGAACAAAAGTAAACATGATTCATACTTTGCATGATACTAAGGTAGTTCAAGAATCCGTAGAACTTGGTACTTTTTTATATACTTCAAAATCTGTTTTTCATTATTTTACAATGTATGCCTTTGTCAGTTGAAAGATAATAGCCGTTCAGTCTGCACGTACATTTTTGCTGTTACTTTTTGTTTGACAACATTAACCTATGGGCAAAAATTGAAAGCCAGAATATTAAGTTAAGAGCAGTCATAAAGTTCCTCACTAAAGAAATCCATCGCCACAAGACGGATGAGTATGAGTGAAAGGAGCCCAACGTATTCATTAGTGGCAAAACCGTCAGTATAATTTAAGATTCCTTAGAAGATAACATAAGACAAGGTTAGCCTGGTGATGTAATCCGAAACCTAAATATGCAAGATCGTCAGCAAAGTGTAGCGTCAAGTCAAGAGCATCTAGAAGTGTACATTTCCAATTCAAAAGACTCACAAACAACTTGTAACAGGAGATTAAACTTTGGCTTCACAACTGGGACCCTGATACGAAAAATGAGTCCGTGCAATTGAGGCACACTGGCTCACTACAACCTTAGCTATTTTGTACCCAACAATCGAATGGTCACAAGCATGTTTGTACTCCAATTACAGGAAAATACTATGAGAGAATGAAGGTCTGGTCTCTAATTAATGCCCCCAAGTGATCACTCGTTTTCCAAGGCTCTTTTATACTTCACTACAGTTGGAGTCAAGTGCCGTGTTGCAGCTGAAAAAGAGTTGCCACGAACTTGTTTTTTTATATTTTTTGGTCCTTCGGGATAATTGATTCCAGCGCTTTCAAGTGTTGAAATTGAGTACCACTCAAGTCGGTGCTGTGGGGCGTGAAGGTTGTTGCATAGTAACATTAGTAACATGATTGTAATTTAAAAATAATAATACTTGTATAATATTTCATCATATGTAAATGTATTGGTAACTAATGATGTTTGGGGCAATAGGCCTGATATCAATAACCTTTTTTATTGACATTGTCATGATGTCAATGTCATTAAACACGTTAGGCTTGCAATTAAAGAAACAAAGAATGGAAAAGCAAGCCGCTTCTGTGCTTTCGTTCATGATGATACCCCTGTGCAGTCCGAAGTTGCAAAAGCACTTTTCGTAAGTAAAATGCAAGTTTAGCTGTGAGATAACCCGCCTATTCCGAAATGGTTATCATCTGCTTAGAAGTTTTAAGTTGAGGCTTTGGACATAAGCGTTAGGCTGCTACAGAGGCTTGCTTCGGGGACCAAACCGACGGCTATTATTTCTAAAGCACAAGCTGCTTAAAAGGAAAATTCGGCCGAATACAAAGACGTAAAAGGATGATTATACTGTAAAATAATATTGGAACAATCCAATCTGTGAATTACACGTTCTACGTATTTATTGAACTGCCCTCGTTTATTGGTAAATGTCTCTGTAACTGGCAGTATTATAATGAGAAAGGTATGCCACATTGGTTTACTGAAATGTATCATCAACATTATAATTCTGCATGCTCCTTACGTCAATTTTCATTAGATTTTCATAAATGCATATGTCATTCAAATTTATTAACAGCTGTTACGAGGCTACAACTTAATTTTGGTTATGATCAAAGAAAGCACAAGTGCAATATCATAAATTTGTAATGCATTCTTTTGTCAGGTAATATAGCTGTATATTTAATTGTTGCCTGTTCTATAACCCCTCACATATTTATATAACGTGGCAAAAAATGTATAACTAATAATATACCAGAAATCTTGAAAGACTGTTATATGCCAAAACCATACCTGTTTTTCATGATTTCTGATACAAAAATGTTTTACTAGTATTTGAATTTCACCTGCACTCTTTATATCATTTTGTAAATGGGCATGTCATGTAAACAGGTCACCTTCTGTTAAATATTGAGACCTGCCTCCAGGATTTGTCCAATTGTTTGAGAATTTAATGTGATTGTCAAAGTGTTTGATACAACACAACCAATCCTAGAAAGAGATTAATATAGAGTATGTGAATCAATGAGCTACACTAATTTATCTTTACCTTGTCATACTTAAAAAAATGGAGATTCAGTTGTGTTTTTTTTTCCAGGGAAGTCAGATCTTTGTTCAAGATCTCATTCAAATATGAAACAAAGGCTTACTTTATTACTTGGATTATTGGGGTTCGAGAGCTTGTAATGTTTTGGGATTGGATAAATTTGGTCATGGGAGGTTGTCGGAAGGCATATATTTGTATATGTAGTTTAACTGTCAAAGAACAATGTTGTTAAAATAATGTGAGTTTGTGTAGCGAAAATTTTTTTTGAATCTAAATGCGAGGGTATTGTGTCCAGGGCGGTTGTCAATGGGCATTTAGTGGAGTTAAGCCAGACTTTTTTTTATAACTTTTAAGCTAACCTGAATGAAAATGATTCTCAGGAATTTACATATTATATTTGAATTAATTGAAAAATTAAGATTAAACTTCTTACAGTGGCAGCAAAAAGTACACAAGGTCACGTTTAACTAAAGCTATCAGAGTGCAAAAACTGATGAATGCTGACATGGGTGGCACAGAAATTCTCAAGCCTTTAGAATATGTCTTTAATAACAAACCTATACCTTCACACCCAAGAAGGGTAAGTTGGTTTTTACAGACTTTTAAGGTGGAAAATTATTCTTGTCATGTTTTATTTTTACACTTTAAAATACTTAACTTGGATTTTAACTTTTATCAATACGTAGTTGAAAAACATTTGGTCATTTAGGGTCAAAATATATTTATCTACATTTTTTCAGAAACAAAATCTTCATTTATTGACAAGTATCTCAGATAAATGTAATGCAAGTACTTTGCAGTTACATCCACACTTGGTTTGGGTTTGATGTTGATTGTTACCTGGGAGATAAGTGTGGTGTGTGTATGTATAAGTATTTAAGTTATCTAATGTACTCCTGGGCCAAAGTTTTGTTAAAGTGTTCGTTATCTTAAGCAATGTCGGGGAGCATCCTATAGTAATTGAGGATCACAGATATGTCTTGTCTTAAGTTGTATAAATTAATGAAAACCTTGTTTTGTATATCTTACGCTTTTGAATGATGTATGCATGTTAAAAAATGTATAAATATTTTCCAGGTTTTTATTCTAACAGATGGGCAAGTAGGCAATACAGATGCAGTAATCGGACTGGTCAGAAAGGAATCCATAAACACAAGTACAAGGTACATTATAACATTGTTCGAAACAAATATTTGTTCCAATTAACATTATTCAGTAGACCTCTAGTGAATCTATCTTCTTGTATTTCATAAACTGTATTCAATGAAGATGCTGAAACGTTTTTAATCTATTACCTGCTGAATTTGTTTAATGGACATGCCAACTGTGAGCGAACAATGCGTTGTGCATGGTTTATTTCCTCTTTTGACACGATAAATTTGCATAAATAGTAGGGGACGTTACGCAAAGAACATTTACAAGTATTTTTGCACAAAAAAACAACTTTAAGTGGAGTGAAAAATTTATAATGTTTCAAACATTCACCTGGCCACATAATGCTTAATGTAGTCAATGGTTAATAAACACATTAATTTAACAAATACATATCTAAAAATCTGGAAAAAGAGTAACCCCTCGGTAACATTAATCGGTAACATAAATCATTTGGAAATTGAGCACTCATATTAAACATTTAAATCTATAATAATTACGAAGTGATCAGCGTTATAAACATATAATCAATGATTGCATTAATTTCAGTTGTCTCACAAATTTAGTAAGTATTTTATTTCGTATCGTAATGTCAATTCATCTAATTTCTACATAAGTTGTAATAGAAACAGATTGACAGTGGGATCAGCCCTCTGGTTGTACATATCCTGGAGGCACTAAAACACCCTTCACGTCTTGTTAAGAGTTCATACATTACTAAAAATTGTCTATGTAGCATTGGTGTTAAGTCGTCCTTAACAATAACAACTTCGCCAACGTAAACAATTTTGCGTTTCAAAGAAACTGTGACAATTCATGACTCCTGCGTTATGACTCCTCTAATTGCTGAAAGGTAATGAAGAAGAACATTTACATACAAGGCGCCTGTCATTGTATTTTAGATATTTCACAGGAGAATGAATTAAAGTCTAAAGTATTCGACTAAAGATAGAAATATTTATTGAAACGGTCTAAAGTCAGGCCTAAAGTTGGTCCAACGTCTTATAAGGAATTATACATTAAGGACTTTTCTATGAAACACAGCGACGTGTGTATATCTGTGCCGTTTGCTTTTAGTTGTAGGTTAGTTTAAACATATTTATTTAAGCTCGATTGCGAAACAAGTTCTTGCAACTTATATTAATCACTTTCGAGTCCGCTTCCTGGAACCAACCAGTACTGGCGTCTTATGGAGAAACATGGTCGTGACCCGAGTAGGGCTCGAACCCATGATCTCTGGGTTGAGAGGCAGACACCTTAACCATTAGGCCACCGCTACCCTTAAAGTTGTAGGTTTTGGCTCCTTGCCATTGGTTCTTGTTGCTGGGTCATATGGGGGTTGCGTTCATTGAACGCCACCTTTCCTTGTTGATCTTGTTTATCATATATTGGGTAATAAAAGATATTTGGTCTTCATGGCCAACTTAAATTTTGGCTTTAACATATCTTCGACCAGAGTATACAGGGGCTGTAGTATGTATAATAAATTGTCTGAATAACGTGTCTCTAAATACAGTCTAACTTGCCCATGCGACCACGTGTATTAAGCGACTTTTGTCTTAAACGACCACTTTAAATTCCCCCCGATCATTTTCTCTCTATGTTTTTAATGTATTAAGCGACTTTTGCTCAACGCGACCAGCGACCGCTAATTAGTCACCTAATTGAGAGCAATCTTTTCATTAAACGACCACTTTTACCTGTCAAGTAATTGCGTTTTAGACAACGCCGCCTCGTAATGTCACATGTGTCAACAATCAAAACACAACAAATAAATGTGTCAAAATCTCTATTTCCCAAACCGTTTTAGCGTAAGCAGTATACGCGTGACGTGTATTATCCAATAATATCGATTAAACAATGCAACGCTCCGCCCCTACTTATGTGGTGTATACGCTTCGCTTATTGACAATTAGACTGCAGTGAATTGACCTTGAACTTGATCAGCAATTAAATTAGATGTATTTTGTTTATTTCTAATGAAAAATGCACGACAGAAAAACATCCTCACTAATAGGGTTTTCGTGTTGGAGACAAGGAAAAGCAACGGAGAAGTCAAAAAAATCTGGAACAAATGTCAAACATGTACGTAATGGATCAAAACTGTTTTGTAAATAAATAGCAGAAAGTTATTTTTCACAGATTATCGAGCGTACTAATTATTCAACATTTATATAAAAATGAAGTTGTTAAACATTCCCACCGCATAAGAAAGATGTCATTTGTAAATTTTGACTTTTATATCATACTTTTTCTTAAGAGACCGTTTCGTTAAGCGACCATTTTGGGTGTTTCCCTTGCGCGGTCGCTTAATACAAGTTTGACTGTATAATATTTTAGTGTCACCAGCACTGAGATTGTGAATAACTTACTTTCTTACATTTTTCTTTGAATACTATGTCTACAATGAACACGTGGTTAGCTATATTGCAACCCCGGTAGAAATGATATGTATCTATATTATTCCTATTGACATCAGTCTCTATTTCCATAATTTTAACGTTTTTGTTTAACTCTTTGCATAAATCAGAAAGGGTTTAATTTTCAGTACCATGCTTCTTTGCATGTCGTCTGGCTTCTGGTGGAAGACTCGCAAATGACAATTTAGATCATTAAGTTGCGATAATCTGGTCTTTTATCTAATAGATCTTAATAGTCCGAGAAATCAGTGAAATAACTGTGCACCTCTTGTAAAAAGCATGAAACTTGACATGGTGGCAGGAAATAGTATTATAATTCATTTCAGCCTGGGATCAACTTTTCAAAAATCCAAGATGGCCGCCGAAATGTACAATGTACATGAGACATGGCAAAATGAAGATATTTACGTCATGAAAATGATATAAATTGACATTGTAGGTCAAAAATAGTAATTTCTTGGAAAATGCTTTAGTAGCATCGGTAGAAGATCCAATATGGCTTTCAAATCCATGATGGCCGCCATTAAATAATGATTTTTGGACAAATTTCTATGATATGGATAATTTATATGATCATCAATCTTCATACATATAACACATTAATAAACTGGCTCCTGCACAAATACTGCACACACATGTGTACATTCACAGAGAAAAAACCATGGATAAAACCATGAGGGCAAATTATTTATCTTGATATTTCGAAGAATAGTATGTACACAAAAGACGTCAGTTTTTCAGTTTAGCTAAGGTTTTGCATTCAAATTGGTTTTGTTATGGAATAGGTATAAACATAATACACTTATTTATGAGCATGATATAATGTCACTATTAAAGATCAATACCTATAATGGATATAACCTTGAATATTTGTATCAAGCAATTCCGAGAATTGACATAGTTCTAGAAAGTCGTCCGCTGATGTTAGTAACTGCAACAATGCCTCCATATATTCCACGTAGACTCTAAGTGATAACAATGTAAAAAGTTCTAACCCTAAATTTAAACGTCTATCATTAGAAACCAATTATAAGTATCTTTATTGGATTTAATACTAGTCATCCAACAAGATACATTTCCTTAAATAAACATCCTGGGTAAATTACATATTCCAACAGTGTAACAATGAAATAAATATGCGTTTTGCGTTGCTTGTCTATGCACATTTGCGATCTTAAGGTGACAACGGAGTCAATTATCACTGAAAATACCTAAAAAGAGATTTTTTGCTTAGTATATTTATTAACCTTTTCTGAAAACATTCGTGATTTAATTTTTGAAGCAGTTAGTCCAAAAAATGTGTTTTTAAACGTTTTAAAACGGTACCAATCCCATTTTTATCTGCTATTCGCGGAACCTGTCAATTATCGATAACGCTCCGCCCCCTGTTTGGGCATCAATGAGGGAAATCGGTAGTTCCATATATCCGTGAATTACCACTCCATACTACTCGTAATACATGTATCGTACAAATACTGTACATCTTTATGAATATCTCAACATTTTATCGTCTACCTTTTATTTAGCCTTTTTTTATATAAATTAAGAAATTGTCGACCAATGTACGTAACATAATGTATGTTACATAAGTAATTAAGCATAGCTGTAAATCGCACGACCACGGGGTTGATTAAAAAATGTATAGTTGCTAAAATATCCATAATGTGTGAAATAATAATTTGTTTGTCCTGTTAATCTGATAGATATTACATTGACTTTATGGACTTTTGTACGGATTCAAGGGATTGCTTTACATTCAAACTAGTTTTCTAAAAATGTCTAGTAAAACAACAACCAAAAAAAACAGACATAATTTATGTGAACGCCTATTTGACTTGTGGTAAGGGGTCAATGACAAATTTCTAAACCATTTTTACCATTGTCTAAGGATGATTATTTCTCTATGAATCAATAAAAAAGATATTAAAATATATTACCAGTGAATGCTTTGGATAAATTGTCCGCCAGTAAATCGAACACAGTACTAATAAACCTGGGACAAAGTATAAAATTTATTGTCTATCCCGGTAGAAACTGGATCTCTATGCCGTGCATAGATGATATTCATGATAATAGAAGTCAAGGAGGCCAGATCATAATGATCGAGTAATACCTTTTATTTCTATTAAAATATGTGAAGCATTATCAATTTGGTGGAAAAAAATATATAATATCCCGTTCTTATTTGTATACATCTACAATGGACTTTAAAAGACTGTCAGAAGCTCAGTTTTTTGTTATTTTATTTTATATTTTAACGGAATTTCATACACAGGCAGAGTGACACTGGTATAATACAATAATAATGCTGATGATAATAATAATAAACTTCAAAAAGGAAACAATAAAATACCCCGCTAGCGGTGCGCAAATGCGTTCCATTTCACCCCACTGAGTGCCTCAAATTTTACCGATAGTCACGTGACATGTGCGACAGATACCAGACGAACAGTAAATCACGTTAAGAATTGAAGAAATTTCGGCTATAAACTGATATTAATCAGCAGCTTTTTAATTGGTCAGATGTCACTGGGTCATAAAATGTTGTTAGAGTATGTAACCGCAACTTGTGACACTCTCTGGTGCGATATTTGTGTATTATGCAATTATTTAGCGTGAAACGTAGGGGTCCGAGAGAGAACAGCCGATTTATGACACTTCGTTTGATGCGGGTCGGACTAACTTTGAATCGGCATAACTTTTTTAATAATCAAGCAATTAACATGCGGTTTGAAGCACATGAAAGGAAATTCATTTACGGAGGGAACCGTGTCAGGGATTTTTGTTTGCTCAATCAGCGACTTAATTATCTTTAATTACGTAATATGTATGGTGAAAAAAGTCGCATAAAATGTTTGACGTTACGTAATATTTTTTTGAGAAAAGATAGAAAAAATTTGAGACACGGTTCCCCAGATAATATAAGTATGGTTATTTTCCAAAAGTTTGATGACAAAAAAAATAAAAAATGACTTTGATATGACGATTTAAAATTTTAGGATTTTTATTCAAAATCAATCATTTACAAAGGCATTTTTTCAAATATGTTATTTTTTATGATGATCAACGATATTTAATGCACAAAGATTAAATAATTAACAATTATTACTAAAATAACTTGGTTTAAATGACATTTATGTGAGTACCACGGAAAGTGTCTGTTGTCACCTTAAGAAAGGTATTCAAATGCTGACAATACAGGCAAACTTTTGCCTTTCTTACGGTTTGTTAGCAGGAAAAATTCTTTGAAATATTAATGAAGAATTTTATTATTGGTAAAAAATAAAACAATTATTGTATAAAATGCTTAGTGAATATCTAAATCTTTGAATTTGGATATCATCATACGATAATACGAAGCGAAAATACCTTAAATAGTTAGTTACTACAAGAAGAAATGGTTTCTTGTTACATTTAAACGCACACTCAGCTGAAAACCATTCGGAAGTGATATGATGTATCATCACACAGACAGAACGCAGTCATTCAATATAATTAAATGTCACAGATGGACTTGACAATTTTGGTTTCATTACGCTAGAAAGATGGTTACTAGCATGCTATTTCAATACAGTAACAGTAGTCAAAATATTTCAGAGTATTCACCCTTGGTATAGGCCATGGTGTATCAACAGCTCTGATTGATGGTATTGCAAGAAATGGTGGAGGGAAATCAGAATTTATAACTGGTAAAGATCGTATACAGCCCAAGGTAATTAACATTTCTTACCCTGTTAAGAGCTTTGATTTTGAAATTGGTTATTAATTATATACTGGGTTTCCGTATTGCAAAGCAAAAAAGTGTTTTGACTGTATGGAAATACAAATAAAATAGAGCAATAAGAATCCCAAAAGAACGCACACAACGATAAAATTGAAAATATTGCTCGGTTTGATTGTTTTTATACAATTGGCTCCATTATCCTAAGCATGCCTATATTAAATGGTATAAAATGGTGTGTTTAACAAGTTCTGCATATTAGGCTTTCACAAATCCGAAAAAAAATCTATCAGATGAAGAGCTGTGTTAGCAAAGTCAAATAGCATTTCAATATATTATCACTTTGGTTGACATAGGTGCATTGATAGGGTTTCCTAATATTTTTACCTGGGAATACTTGTAAATTTAAGACCCTTTATTGCAACTGTCTTCTTCTGATGAGTTTGCCTTTAGAAACAAAGAAAAGTCGAGTGTGACCCAAACTTAGTAGTTATTCTTGTTATTCTAGTTAATTTGACAATATCTATATTTTAATTGGTGCTAGATCAATTATGTGGCAGATTAATGACTACTACTTGTTATTCAAGACCCTATATATATCTACTTGTACAGGTGATATCATTATTAAAGCGTGCTATGCAGCCTGCCATCACAGATATCTCACTAGACTGGGATCTACCTCCAGGTATCATACCCGTGTCCATACCTACTGAACTTCCAAATATCATATCTGCTGGTGAACGACTCACATTGTTTGCTGTCCTACAGAATGTTGATAAAAATGTAAGTCTCTGTCAAGGGGAGTTCTGTTAGTATTTCTCTGATTTTGTCTAGTATATGTCGCTTTTAAAAGGTTGGTATTACACCTTTTCACGTTTTAAACATAAGCAAAAAAGAAAAACCTGATTTTCTTCACCAATGCGACGGGTCGTGCTCTTAAGGCTAAAAGAAAAGGGATTTGTTTTGAGTTTTATATCACATTATATTTTTCTCTCATAGTATACTTATTACCAATGTAATTTGAATTAATTTATGGAGTTATAGATAGTTTTTGAATCGTAAGATAAAACGTAATAAGTTTGTTCATGAACGGTAATGGAAAGTACAAGTTACCGTCCACGTGGTTAAACCATAAGTAGGTGATAAGCTGTAATTTTCATTTCAGGCAAGTTATGCACCCAGTACAGTGACGTTGAAAGGTGTACGAGATGGAAATGCTGTTTCTTATACTTTGGTCTTCACTTTGTGTGAAGCAGACAATATAAATGTATCTGCTCCTATTCATCGATTAGCAACTAAGCTGCAAATCAAACTTCTACAGGACCAGGAGGCGGAATCTACTGCAAAACGTTTACAGCTTTTCTTTTTTGAAACAATCTTTTATACAAATAAAAAAATTACTCCGGATTTCCATGTCAGAAGGGCACACCAGAGAAAAACTTTGTTAATTACTGTAACAATATTTTTACCTCCACTTTAAAGCTAAGCTATTGTCAGGAGCCATTTTCCTTCATCTGCGTTGGTTAACATTTTTTGTTCCAGTTTTGGCTTATGTTTATTTACTAAAATACTGATAAAGCTGTCAAATTCAATCTATAATGTGAATGCACCCTCATGAGTTCTACCTCCCACACCTATTTTTAGGTCAAATGTCAATGGTCAATGTAACTTGGTCCTGTTATATTTTAAAATTCAACTGGTCATTAAAGTAAAGTACTTTGACCTGGTATCTTTACACTTTTTATGTTGATGCGCCTTGATAAGTTCTACCTGACACACTAATCTATAGGTCAAAATATCAAAACTAAACAATCAGGGTGTTTAAATCTGCCCTATTCATTTTTTGGCCGAACGTACAAAGGCTAATGTCACTGTTCCTGAATAAACAAAATCAAACTGGTCATTTAACCAACGTACCACCACACCTTTGTCACTAAGGTTATATAGTTTAAAAAAAATCATTTCATGTAACTTGGTTAGTTGTACATGTTAAGCTAATTTTTAGATTTGTGACTTGAAATAGATTGGTCAAATTCAATTGGCTCAGAAACTATTCAAGCTATTCACTTAAAACCTGATACACATTATTAGAATCAAAAGGTCAGATTTTTCTGAAATTATCATCAGCAAAGTTATTCCCCTTTGACTGACTAGATTTCTCTCCCTCTATTAACACTTTTGATACGGCTTATATCTCATCCTTTTGTGACAAGGTTTATTTTATTCACAATGTACTAAAATATCACTTTAAACTTGCAGTTCTTTTTGTAGTACTTGTCTTTAGATGACCATGAACGTCTAATTTTTGTTTAAAATAATTATCCTATATTTTTTAATTTGATCATAAGATAGAGAAAAATAGAATCACTACAACACGCACAAAACGGCAAAATTGAAAATGTTGGAGACTCGGTTTAATTGAATCTGTTCATCAACGGCATTGGAAAATGAGAAACAAGTCACCGTTCCCGCATCTGCTACGGGATTAAACACGATTTAACATTTAAATACGAAAATGATGAAACTTTTAATTTAGAAACATCTGCAGATGTGTTCAAACGGTGGTTATCATGTAACCTTCAATGTGGCACATAAACCATCAGTTTGTGTATTATTTCCAATACACTTTACACAAATTCTGATTAAAATTGAGAATAATTTTGTGTCAAAATGACATTTTTGTAATATTTAATGTCTGAAACATATTTATAATACCTGCTGTTGTATTACAGTTGACGATTTGGGATGCACAAATGTCTTAAATGCTATAAAAGAATACAGGAAGAAGGTAGTTTGTCTGAGTTGCCAGGGTAACATTATATCAAAACATACATCATTTGTTGCTATTGATACAGACGGTAAGAAGGTTGAAGGTACCGCAGCAAAAATATCGTGCCCAGTGCCTTCATTATCAAGAGAATTTGTCAAGGGGATTCAAAAGGTATCTTAAATTGTATTCTATTAAACTTAATTTTCTTGAAACACAGTTATAGTGGAACTTTATGTTAATTAATGCTTGGTTGTACTTATTAAGCTCAGCCGATTAAACTTTACAGAAACTATCATTAAGTAGCCCTCTTAAAAAGCTTTGTAATTAGTTTCAGCTAAAGTACTTTGAAACTTAGAGTTTTAAAATATTCTCCACAGAATGTTATTTGTCCAGAGCTAGCGTATTTGACATGTAGTTGTAGCATTTATTACATTGTGGTCCTCTGAAAAAATATATATCGTTACCTTGGATTACCACCACACCTTTGTCACTAAGGTTATATAGTTAAAGTTTTATTTTTAAGACATTTACGTTTCTTAAGTCTTTTCCGAAATTGCAATGCCTAGGAATTAAGTATTCGGCATGAAGCTTAGCCTAGTCAGTCTCCTTATGTCAACATTGGTCAGCCCTTCGGTCACTCGTGACTTGTAGAATAAAATGTCTTAATGAATCTCTTCTCTGAAACTACAATGCCAAGAGCTTAGAAATTGAGCATGTAACATCAATTGGTAGTCCTCTGGAGTCTGGAGCAATTGATATCGCTTCGGGGTCATGTAATTTATATAGAGTTATATAGGACAATAGGGGGTGTCGGAGGCCGAGTGGTTAGGTTCAAACAACTTGCCACTCACCGCTGTAGGTTCGAATCTTGCAAGAGACTTAAGATTATTTGATATGAGGAAGCTATCCAGTTAGGTTACAGAACGTGTTTCTACTTAGGTGCCCGTTTGATCCTGACAAAATGCACGGGGAGCATTTAAGGTATTTTTCCAGCAGTGAAACTCAATGTCGCCACGTGACCTGTTTTATGTTGGTGGGACGTAAACTCAATCAATTGTAAAAATAAATAAATAGGAAAGTACATTCAAGTCTTCAGTTATGAACATACACTAGACATTTAAATTTAAAATGTCTAAAAAGGAAGCTTCTTCTCTGTAACTACAATGCCAAGAGCTCAGAGTTCTTTTCTGACTGCAATCTACCCATACATTTTTTTTCCAGTGATAACAAACTGACACAGTGCAAAAATGACACAGGATTTATTTCATTTTAGAAGGGACTTATGGTTTACGAAATAGGAATATTAAAGTAAATGAAGTGGAAAATTGTGAAGCGTGTTAAAACATATATCTGGTTTTCAGTCATTTCCAGCTTAACAGTAATTAAAACAGAAATATACCGTTTCATTCAATGATGGTGGCGTTTGTTAACAATTTGTAGGATACCACGCAGTTCTGATTGTAAGCCCAGTTATGAGGAGAAACATTACATTTTTCTTTTGAACCAGGATCTTCGTATAAACTTGCTTTATACTAAAATTGAGTGTAATATCTTATTCCTAACTCAAGTTATTGTTGAGAAACATTTTCTATTTTTAGTAAAAGTGACCCTTGACCCCAGGGGGTCTAAATGCCATCCCGACCAGGGTTTCCACATGAGGTTGATAAATACAAAGTTTGATTACAATATCTCAATTTTAACTAATGTTACCTTTCAGACACATTTTTCTATTTTAGTGACTTTGACCCATGGGAGTCAAAAAACTATCCCAACCAGGGTCTTTTTATAAGCTTGCTATATACCAAGTTTAATAACAATATCTCATTCCTTACACTAGTTATTATCCGGAAAGCATTTTTCTATTTTAGTAAATGTTTCCACATAAGGTTGCTTAATACAAAGTTTGATTACAATATCTCAATTTTAACTCAATGATGTTATCTTTCAAACACATTTTTCTATTTTAAGTAACGATGACTTTGATCTCGGGGTCAAAAAGCAATCCCAACCAGGGTCTTCATATAAGCTTGATAAATACCAAGTTTGATTACAATATCTCACTCCTTACTCTAGTTATTATCCGGAAAGCATTTTCTATTTTTAGTAAGGATGACATTGATCTTGACCCCAGGGGATCCAACTGCAATTCCTACCAGGGTTTCCACATAAGATTGCTTTATACCATTTAGATTACAATAGCTCATTCCCAACACTACACTTCTCTAGTTATTGTCCGGAAAGCATTTTTCTATTTTAAGTAACTATGACCTTGACATTGATCAAAATGCAATTCCAATCGGGGTCTTAATATAAAAATGCTGTATACCAAACTGGATGACAATATCTAATTTCTAACTCTAGTTAGTATCCGGAAAACATTTTTTACTTTTAGTAACGGTGACCTAGACCTCGACTCAAGAGGGTGCAAATGCAATACCAACCGGGTTTCCACATAAGGTTGCTATATACCAAAAATAGAGAAAACAGAATCCCTTAAGAAAGCCCAACATGACAAAATTGAAAATGTTGCAGGATCGGTTTGATTCAACCTGTTCATGGACGGTACTGAAATATGCAAGTTACCGTCCACGCCCCCTAGCACCGGCTGAAGCAGAATTCAACATTTAAACATGAAAATGGTGAAATTTTGAATTTATAAACATCCGCAGATGTGTTCATACGGCGGTTATCATGTAACCTCTTCAATGTGACACGTTAGCGCCATTCCATGAAAAACGGCGTATGGTCCCATATTTTACAAGGACCTGTTGAACTAGATGATGAACTGGAGGGCAGTACCTCCAAAATTAGGAAAGGCAGAGTTATTGTTCTATGCCCTGCACTTTTTATTCAATGAGATATATCTACCTATAAAGTTTCTTGTTGATATCTCTTATAGTTTCAGAGCTATGTCCCGGGAAAAGTTCAACGTGTAAAATAAGTAAAGGGCAATAACTTCAAAATAAGACAAGACAGAGTTTTGGTTCTTTAGCACTGCACATCTACCCAATGAAATCTATCTACCTAAAAAGTGTCATGTTGATATCTGTTATAGTTTTAAAGTTATGTCCCGGACAATGTTCAAAGTGTAAAAATGAACAAAGGGCAATAACTCCAAAAATAGGCAAAACAGATTTATGGTTCTTTGCCACTGCACTTTTACATAATAAGATCTATCTACCTACAAAGTTTAATATTGATATCTCTTACAGTTTTAGAGTTATGAGAAGTATGTCCTGGAGAAAGTTCAGTTGTAAAAATGAACAAAGGGCAATAACTCCAAAATAAGGCAAGACAGAGTTATGGTCCTTTAGCACCGCACTTCTACACAATAAGATCTATCTACCTACAAAGTTTCTGATTGATATCTCTTACAGTTTAAAAGTAATGTCCCGGACAAAGTTCAAAGTGACAAAATGAACAAAGACAATAACCCCAAAACTAGGCAAGACAGAGTTATAGTTCATAAGCACTGCACTTCTACATAATGAGATCTGTCTACCTACAAATTTTCATGTTGATATCTCTTATTATGCCCCCACTTCGAAGAAGATGGTGTATATTGCTTTGCACTTGTCGGTCCGTCCCGTCCGTCGGTCCGTCCGGTCCGTCGGTCCGTCCGGTCCGTCGGTCCGTAGACCAAATGGTTTCCGAGTGATAACTAAAGAACCCTTAGGCCTAGGAACATGGTATGGTGATTGGTCATGACCAGTAGATGACCCAATTGATTTTGAGGTCAAGGGGTCAAAGGTCAAGGTCACATTGACCTTGTATGTTAAAACGGTTTCCGATCAATAACTTATGAACGCTTAGGCCTAGAATCTTCAAACTTGATATGGTGATTGGTCATGACCAGCAGATGACCCCTATTGATTTTGGGGTCAAGGGGTCAAAGGTCAAGGTCACATTGACCTTGTAGGTAAAAACAGTTTCCGATCAATAACTAAAGAACCCTCAGG